AAGTTGGGTCGTATCCGTCCTCCAACTTTACTCTTCCTCAAAATTATGTTTGTATTCTGAGTTTTTTTTCTCACAATATAAATTTTAGAATCAGATTGTTGATATCTACAGAATGAGTTGTTGAGAGTTTCATTGCAATTCCTTTTTATTGTGTTAATCAACTGTAATCAATAGTTTCTTCTTATTTCTTTCATTTTTCTTCAGTTTATTCTAATATCTTTTTTTAGCTTCCTAAGCTGAATGCTGTCTCATTCTCTTTTATTTTTACATTTTAAAATATATATACATGTAAATCTGTACATTTAGCTATACCACATGTATTTTAAATTATTTATTTTGAGAGGCAGAGAGACAGACAGACATACAAAAATCTCCCACCTCATGGTTTATTCCCCAAATGTCCATGATGTCTGGGGCTGGGCCAGCCTCGTGTTGGGAGCTAGGAACACCAGGTCTCCCACACGGGTGTCAGGGACTCAGGACTTGAGCCATCACCTGCTACTTCCCAAGTGCACATTAGCAGAAATCTGACATCAGGAGCAGAGCTACAACTTCAATGCAGACACCCCAATGTAGGATGTGGGCATCCCAAGCAGTGCCTTAACTCTAGGCCAACTGCCCATGCCTCCAGCAGTTTTTATTAGTTTTACCATCACATAGTTCTGAGTATGTCATGATTTACATTATATTCTTTTTCTTTAAATCACATATATTTAATCCTTCAATCACATGTTATTTAGAAATGCAATTTTGAACCTCCAAAAGATGTTTGGTTTGGTTCTTTTCTTTTTTCTTTTGCAAGGAGATTTATCTTGTGTGGACCTCATCTTTTCATTCTAACCCTTTAAATCTGGGTCTAGAGGTCAGAAACAGAAGTCTGAGAGATTGTGTTTAATGTTTATTTACTTATTTTTATTTATTTGAAAGTCACATCAACAACAGGGGAGGGGGCGGTCAAGAGATAGCTTCCATCCTCTGGTTCATCTCCGAATACCTGCAACTTCCAGGCCTGGGCCAGGCTGAAACCAGGAACATAAAACTCCATCCAGGTCTCCCATGTGGGTAGCAGAGACCCACCTGCCATCATCTGCTCTCTCCTAGGTTGCATTAGCAGGAAGCTGGATGGGAATCAAAGGAATTGGGACAGGAACTGACACTCCAATATGGGCTGCCAGCATTGCAAGTGGTGGCTTAACTCACTCTGACACAACATCTGCCCTCTATCTTTTCACTGTTAATTTCTAATTTAATTGCGTTGTTTTTAGAGATCATTGCCTTTATGATATTAACCCTTTGAAATTTGTAGAAACTCTGTTTAGGTCTTCATATGTAATCAAGTTTGGTTTGGTTTGGCTTTTTTTTTAACAGCCATTTTACTGAAATTCAACATACAGATAGAAAAATGCATAAATTGTATGCTCATATTCTGTTCAATTACAGAGGAACATACCCTGGTAGTAACACATAGTCAATTTTTAAAATAATTTCATGTTTGCTTAAAAAGCATGTGTATTCTCTATTCACTGAGTTCAAGGTGAGATCCAGCTTGTTAATGTGTGGTTTGTATCTCTCCCAGCCTTACTCATTTTGTCTACCTGATCTATTTCCAATATGAAGATGCATTATAATATCCCAGGGCCATTGCAGTTTATTTTTTCCCTGAACAAGATTACACAGGGTGAATTGAAGGTGATAGGGAAATACTTAATACACATGCTTCTATGAACCGGCTTTATCATAAAGACAAAAGTAACACAAGCATAATGGTTTGTTCATGCCATCGGTTCAGTATGCTGTATACAAATCAACCAAGGGAGAGAAAAAGATTTCTGCTTGAAATATACAGTACACTTAGAAACATATCCATCAGGTAGAGATATCCAAAAGCTTATGAATATTACATTCTGCATTTCTCTTCTTCACAGTCTTTTCATCCGAGTGTAGGCATATATTTGTTCTTATTACAAAGTCACTTACATAAGCACATATTTGAACTTGAAAGGAACCATAAGTTTCCTACAACGTGTAAGGTGACATTTTCTTGCAGGTTGTCAATTTTACATAAAAGAGGGTTAATCCTCTTAGCTGAGGCTATGTCATTGCTTTCCTCTTTGTGATAAAACTATTTCCCTATCATCATCTTTGGCTTGAGAGGAACAGTAGTCTCCTGGTTGGTTCCTGGTTGGTTTTCTTACATATATCTGCTCAGCCAGAGTGACCTGCTTAAATATACATGATTCTATCACGCCTAATTAAACTCTTAAATGACACACAACTCCAGTGTGGTCTGCTTCCTGCCTTTTCAGCTGGCCCTAATCCCAGCTCCAGCCCCACTGGCCTCTCTCAGTTCCTTCTTCCCCAGGGCCAATGCGCCTATCACCACTCTGCCTTACACATTACACTCCAGGCTATACTCCCAGTCATCCTTCAGAACTCAATTCTGTATCACCTTGACTACCCAACAAGGTCAAATCCCTCCAGCGCTCTGTGGCTGGTTGAAATCAAATGTCCATCAAGGTCCACTAGAAATCTTTCCCTAACACCTCAAGTAGAGGTGATTCCTCCTCTTACCTAAAGGTGAATCCTATTTCTTCCTGTTCTGCTTGGTATTACAGGTGATGCGTGCTTGTTTTTGCTCTCTTTCTTACTGGACATACTCTCCAGGAACTTGGGAAGTACGACAGGCCCTAAGGTTGGTTGGATGATGGGAAGCTTTTCATATTTCTTTTTGTCAGTTTTTGTTAAAGACTCTTCAGGAAAGTTACTGAACTTCATGTCTCTAAGTGGCAGATATCCAATATGTCAATCTTGAGTCAGCCAGAAGACACCACTCTGTCTCCCCAGCCAAGGAACTCTGTAGACTGGGTGGGGCAGGTGAAAACTCACATGTTGACTCAAAGGTTATGCAGAGAAGTTCTCTAACCGGTTAAGAGCTGTAGTTGAAATGATTGCCTGGGTTGACTCTGGCTTTCGGAAATGCAGCACAAGCCAGGCCCCTGAAAGACTGGCAGGTCGAGTCTGGGTCTTGAGCCTTGTGAGATATGCCAAGGAGATGGGTAACTGAAAATGCTGACATATGAATTTAACCTGCTGAGGTCCAGAGACAGACCCATTGCTGGAGATCTGTAATCTGCTCTCACTGGCCTGAGCGTCCTGAGCCCAGACCTCAATGTCTCCTGGTCATCTTGACCAAGCAAAAGGGATTGAGACCCAGTGATAGGTTTGCTTCATGAGTATGTGGCTAACTGAGGGCAGCTAACATTTAATTTACCACCACTTACTCGGATTCTATACCAAATTACACTTAAATTTTGGATGTGAAACTACATTTCTCACAACTTTTATTCCTATAAGCATCTTCATTACCCTGAATTAAACAAGGATAAGAAGTAAAATGAAGTTCTTTGAAGATTTTTAAAACATTTTCCCCATATTAAAGTCATGAATTCATTACAGCCAAATTTAAAAATGTAATGAACTACTTTAAAAATCCATATATACATTACCTAAGACAATCACATGACATTTTGACATTTTTTCTTCCAATTTTTTTCCATGTAGATGTTTTAGGAAATTATAATCATGCCATATATATGTGAAGTATGTATGAGAAAAAGCAGAATACAGTGTATATGAATATGCATATATGTATATACACTGTATTATATATATAATACACATGTACATGTACATGAAGGTACATGTGTATATATATAATGTATGTACATTATTTTATGTACCTTCATGGTACATGTGTATATATACTGTATTTGGTTTTTTCACTTGGGTTCTAAAAGGAAGCACTTTTCAGGGTTGGTGCTATGGCGTAGTGGGTAAAACCACTGCATGCAGTGCCAGCATCCCATATGGGCGCTGGTTCATGTCTTGGCTGCTCCACTTCGGATCCAGCTCTCTGCTATGGCCTGGGACAGCAGCAGAAGATGTCCCAAGTCCTTGGGCCCCTGCACTCACATGGGAGACCTGGAAGAAGCTCCTGGCTCCTGGCTTCGGATCGGCACAGCTCCAGCCATTGTGGCCATGTGGGGAGTGAACCAGTGGATGGAAGACCTCTTTCTCTCTGCCTCTCCTTCTCTCTCTGTGTAACTCTGACTTTCAAATAAATAAATAAATCTTAAAAAAAAAAAAGCAGCAGCATTTTTCTGGAGTCATTATTGTGGATGTTGATATCCATGGTATTATGGACGAATAATAGTCCAACAAGAAGACATAATCATAATTACTAAACTGTCTCCTTCACGTGACCTTGAAGTATAAATGAGAACTTGAAGAGGGAAACACTGCTTTTGCTGACATTTTACGTTTCCTTAGTGAGTTACGTGCTTTTTCACAGTTCAGTTTATCTTTGTTTCTCACCCAGTTGGCTCTAGTAGTACTGGGCCCACTCCAGCCTCCCTGGCAGCCCCTGCCAATCCCTTGAGGCTCTGGGATAAACAGGCGCTGTGCCTCCCTGACAGTCCTCAACTGGCCTTTTAGTTCGTGCCACTGTCGCTGCCCAGGGGCACATGCTCTTAATTTCTCTTGGTTTAAGCTTGTCCTAATCGAGTCCAATTCCCAGAGAGTCAATTCATTAGAGTCAGTTAACAAAGCCATTTCTCAGAACCGCAGGCTGACCTCAGGTCAACCGCGAGGAGCTGGGGTGAAGACTGTGGATTGTGCCAGACCCTGGGGTGAGATACAGTAACTTCAAACCCAGACCCTTTTCCCAATGCCCCTGCAATTTATCACCCTACGGCTTTTAGGCAAAAGACTTGATCTCTAAAGCCTCAGTTTCTCCATCTATGAAATGGGTCCCTAGACAGAGTTTTGGAAGTGAAATGTGATCATAATGCAAAATACCTCATGTCAGACCCTCTTGGTAGGGGCATAGCAGAGATTCTGTTAGATGCTTTCTCTTGCTCTAGAGAGAAGTGGCAAGAATCAAACAGGGACCAAGCATCCTGACGTTTGAATCCTGATTTCTTCTCTATTTTAAAATCCAGCTCCCAGGGCAGGTGCTAGCCCTAGCGGTTATGACAGCACTTAGGATGGCCACATCCCATATCAGAGTGCTGGAGTTCAAGTCCCAGCTCAGATTCCTGCTAATGTGCATCCTGGGAGGCAGCAGGTGATGGCTCAAGTATTTGGATCCCACGTGAGAGACCGGGAATGCATTCCCTGTTCCCAACTTCTGCTCCAACCCAGCTCCAGACTTCGCAGGCATTTGGGGAGTGGACCAACAGGTGAGAGCTCTCTCTCTTTCTCAATGTGTGTGTGTGTGTGTGTGTGTCCGCTTGCCTGTGTGTGTCTGCCTCTCAAATAAAAAATAAATAAGTAAATACTTTTTTAAAAATAGAGAACAGAAATAAAATCCACCTCCTGTCACTCTATATCGTCAAAGAATCAACCCCTTTTTCTGTTAGATATTCTAAATATAAAACCTGACCAAAGTTTTAAAACCAATTATGTGGTTGTTTTTTCACAGGTATTAAAGACAATTAGATAAGATTTCCTCCCAGGAGCTCTTTTAAAATATCAAATAACTTCTATTTTTCATTACAGGAATTTTCAAACACACAAAAACGGGAAATAATGTGATGAACTCCATGCATTAATTCCCCAGCTTTTACAACCTTAAATGTTTTGCCTAAATATCTATCCTCCTTTATATACCTCATTATATTTTTTGCTGGATTATTTGAATGCAATCCTGACAGTATTTTATTTTATGTATTAAATACTTCGTTGTGTATTTCTAACAGTTTAAGAGCATTTTTTCCTACATAACCACAAGGGTGTCATCACCCAAAACAAAAGTATCAATGATCTCAGGAGCATTTAAAAATAGGATTCTGGAAACAGCAAGCCAGGGGAATGAGTAATACAGCGTTTCAAGCTCTTCGCTAAGAGGTTTGGGAAAATGCTCTCAACAAGGGAGGCACTTTCGCTTTTGCAAATGACGTCATGGAGTCAGATGTCATTTCTTCCTTGTCTGGAGTGGGATTGACTTTCTTGCCCCCAGTGTGTTCCCTAGTCTGGTTTAAGGCATCAGCATCCACTCAGAGGCTTCTTACCCCTGACTCTTCTCATCCTTGCCAGTCTGACTTCCCTCCCTTCTCTCTTACCATTCCATGGAACCAGTTCTTCTGTTTATTGTGGCAAGAGCATTTAAACAAGACCTACCCTCGAGTAGATTTCTAAGTGTACACTATATTAAATGTTGACTCTTGCTTGGCTGAAACTTAATGCTCATTGTTAGGAACCCCATTTCCCCCTCTGCTGGCCCCCAGGCAGCCACACTTCTGTGCTTCGGTGACTTTGACTATTTTAGATACCCTGCATAAATGGAGTTATGCAACATTTGTCTATGACTGGCCCACTTCGCTTAGCATAATGTCCTCAAGGTTCGTCCATGTTATGTTGCAGAATGTCCTTCTATTTTAAGACTGGAGAGTATTCCCTTATAGAGGATACCTCAAAAAGTGCAAGGAGAAAGGAATTAAAGGACAATATGCATTTTCCATAAACTTTCTGAAGCCCCCTCATAGGTATATAGCACAATTTCCTGTTCCCCTCATGTGTTGGTGGCTATTTGAGTTGTTTTCATATCTTGCTATTGTGACTAGTGCTACAGTGAACATGGGTGTGCTACTATCACTTTGAGAAACCGATTTCAGGTTTTGGAAAAATACCTAGAAGTGGAATTGCTAGATTATGTGGTAGTTCTATTTCTAATTTGTTGAGGCACTGCCCTACTGCTTCCTGTTTGCACCACTTCCCACTCCCACCAACAGTGGGTGAGGCTTCCGATTTCCTCCACGTCATCCCCAGTACTTACTCTTTTTTTTTGTTTTTGTTTTTGTTTTTATTTTCTCATAACCATCCCAGCAGGTGTGAGTGAGATGGTATCTCATTGTAGTTTCAATTTGCATTTTCCTGATGATTCGTGATGTTGAGCATTTTTTTCTTGTAAACTATTGGCCATATGTATATGTCTTCTTCAGAGTTATGTCCATTCAAGGTCTGGGACCATGTTTTTATTGAGTATTTGTTTTGTTTTGCTTTGCTATTGAGTCGTAGGAGTTCCTCGCCATCTTAAATCTCAGGTGACTATTCCTCATAGGCACCCCGTCCTCTACATTCCCGCTTCTGCTCCCTTTGTCCGGCCTCCATTACTTATTTCTGCACTGAGGTGTTGAGTGGATTCTATTTGGGTTTCCCCAGAAACAGAGCCTGACATAAGGACTTGACTATAAATAGTTTGAGAAGTGATTCAGAAAACCCTGGGAGTTGAGTCAGGGGATGAGACAGTGAAGTTAAAGAGGGCAGTACAGGGTGTGAAGCCAACGCACTTTAAGAAACTTAGTTCTCCAGCACACTGGAGCGCCATCCCGCTGGGAAATGTGGGAGACAATATGGAGTCATCTCCGGGGACAGGCAAGGGGCTTGGGGTGTTTAATCATCAGCTCGCCACCCGTTGTTGTTGAGGGCTGTTGTCACAGAAATGAGCTTCCTGGATCTTCTTGCCTCTGCTGTGTCCAAGCACACGGAAAGTCTTCAGTATGGAGTAGTGAATACTTAGGGGACACGGGTCGGGCACTGACACTACCCACTGCTTTGCCTCTCCTCTCCCTCTCCCACACAGAGGCCATGGATAACTTTCCAAGTTCAAATCTGGTTCTGACACTCTCCTAGTCGGTGAAAAGTGCATGCAGATGACGCTGAAACTGGCCTTGCATATTTCTCCTGCTGGAGGTGACTGTCTTGAGGGACCAAGCTATCTGATTTGTGCAGAGTATCTTTTCAGTAACTACCCAGGAATTAGATGGACACCTGGCTTTTTCATAACCTAAAAATCCTGTTGTTTAAGAGCAGATTGAGAGGGGGAAGGGACAAGCAAACCACGACGCTGGTGAGGAGCTCGCTGGTGCAGTCTGCTCCCTCTCAGCAGTTCTGCAGAGTCCTTGCCACCAGCACAGTGCCTCTTGCGGAGCTTCTGCCACTGCACCAAAGCGCCTCGTGGCAACACTCTGTTCTTTAGGCAGACACATTATCTGGGAATCTCAATGTGATTTACAAGCTTACATAACTTCTCAAATGAGTCAGCATGCTCATCAAGAAGGCAGCATGGTGTAGTGGAGAAAACAGGGCGTTTGGTGCCAGATAGAACAAGTTCAATTCCTGCACCTGCCGCTTCCTGTGTGTTTGGACAAGCTATTCCACCTCTCCCAGCCTGCTTCTTCCTCTAACAAAAGGGGCTAAGAGTACAGTACCTACCCGGGAGAATTATTCTAAGGATTCAGTGAGGCAAAATCAGGGTGCTTTTCCATCCCACAAACTGACTTAACACATCCAGCAGCAAGTTCTTGAGCCTCACTGACCTGCAGTGAGTAGCACACACTGATTTATCTTGTCTGCTTCTAGCACCAGTGAATTTCAGATGAACCTCCACATCAGCTCTTCCTAAAGGAAAATTGCTCTGGCTCCATTCTGGGCAAAGCAGCCACGTTGTGTGAGAGAGAAATCAGCAGCAGAAAGGGCTTAGGTGCCGAGGGTAGGGCTGGACTGGCTCAGCCCCAACTGCAGTGGCCGCCAAAGATCACTGGCTTTCAGAGGCGAGTTTGGAAGCACACCGGGAGGGAGACAACCAAAAAACAAAAGTGCAGGGGGAGAGGACGTGGAATCCGATCTGAGTCGCTGCTTCCCGGACAGGAGTGCAGTTAGAACTGGCGCGGTGGCATTGCAGAGCGCTCTCCTAGACAAAGCGGCAGCATTCGAATGAGGACACCGCTGTGCTGCTGGGGGCTGGGGACGACTCTGGAACTGTTTTTCCAAAGTGGCTGAAACAAATGCCTGCAGGTTAAAAAAAAAAAAAAAATCAAATCTCTACCCAGCAACTGCGGCACTGCCTCCCTGTCCTTCCCTGCCGGCCACAGTTACAAGAACAGGATGACCAGCCCAGCTCATGCCTCGGATCTCCAAAGGCTGTGTAACATGTGGTCAGCTGGGGTTGGCACAGGCATGTTGGTCATGCAGGGGTGACCAGTGGACATGCCCCCAGAGCAAGAAGACCTCTAAAAGGAAGAATCCAGAATGGATATTTGGACGCAAGCTGTTTTGTTGATGTTTGAAGTGCTAAAATCAGCAGCACCTTATTTAAAATAAAATTTGACACAGACTCTCTCCCTGGGACAAATAAGACGAGAGCTACTTTTTTTTTTTTTTTTTTGACAGGCAGAGTGGACAGTGAGAGAGAGAGACAGAGAGAAAGGTCTTCCTTTGCCGTTGGTTCACCCTCCAATGGCCGCCGCGGTTGGCGCGCTGCGGCCGGCGCACCGCGCTGATCCGATGGCAGGAGCCAGGAGCCAGGTGCTTTTCCTGGTCTCCCATAGGGTGCAGGGCCCAAGCACCTGGGCCATCCTCCACTGCACTCCCTGGCCACAGCAGAGAGCTGGCCTGGAAGAGGGGCAACCGGGACAGAATCCGGCGCCCCTACCGGGACTAGAACCCGGTGTGCCGGCGCCGCTAGGCGGAGGATTAGCCTAGTGAGCCGCGGCGCCGGCCGACGAGAGCTACTTTGAGCAGGAGAGATCAGAGGCAGTGTGGTTCTGGGGCCCTGGCTTCCACGCCTCTATTCTTGGTCTTCACTGGTGGCCCACACGTATGTCCTGGAAATCCTGAGATTGCTACCACTGACCTTGGCTTGAATGGACTCCAGTCTCGTCCACCCGTCACATGGTTCAGGCAGGGAGACTTGGGCTCAGAGAGGGGAAGCGGCTAGTCTAAGGTCACCCAGCAGAATCGGGAAGTGAATCCAAAGCTCTTTGGGCTCCCTGCTTTCTCCTAAAAACCATCCCCTCTTTCAAAAAAAAAAAAAAAGTCTTTAAAGATAATGTTGCCTCGTGAACTAGCTTGTTAAACTGAACAAGAAGGCCAGAGGCATCCTAGTGTAAAATCACTGGCTTTGGAAAGGATCCAAGTCCATCTTCTTGTCTGCTAGACCTGAGTGCAGTGTCTTATTACGTTTATTTTTAAGGCTTTTAGAATGGTAGTTGCCACATCTAAGGAAATTTACTAAATTAATGGTCTCTTAAGCCAAGGTAAATCTAACCTCTTAGACAACAACAAATTAAAACAACAGCCACAACGGCTTAGTATTCTTGAAAAAAATGTTTTTAATATATTAGTCCCATAAGGAAGAAACAATGCATAGCAGAGAGGCCAAACCGAAGCTCTCAAACTGGAGCACAGGCATTTCTGTCCTGTGCCTCTACTTCCCAGGGGTGAGACTTGGACATGGCACAGCCTCCCTGGATCTCAATATATTTTTTAAAATTTTAGTTACTCGAGAAAGAGAAAGAAAGAGAGAGAGAGAGAGAGAGAGAGAGAGAGAGAGAGAGATCTGATTCCATCTGCTGGTTTACTCCCTAAATAACTACAACAGCCAGGGTTGAGCTAGGCTGAAGCCAGGAGCCCAGAAATCAATCTAAGTTTCCCACATGAGTGGCAGGGACCCAAAAACTTGGCCATCATTTGCTGCCTTTTAGGGATCAAATTAGCAGGAAACTAGAATTGGGAGCAGAGCTGGGCCTCAAATCTAGGTAATATGATATGGGGTATAGGTATCCCAAGCAGCATCTGGACCCCTAGGCCAAATGCCTGTTCCCCTTAATGTGTGCTATCTGTTAAATGACTAAATCATTAAAAGCATTGAAGTCAGTATTCAATAGAGCCCTGACACCAAACTTACCAGGGAGCACGGTGAGCCAGCACTGTACCTACTCCAGACAGAACACAACGCTGCAGCTCTAGGGCCAAGGACCTGCCGGCTGACTACTGCAGAAGAGCAGGAAATGGCAACATGGAGGTGGCTGTGGGAGAAAAGAGAGCTGGAGACAGAAAGCAGCAGGGAGAAAAGCACAGGCTCCCTGCTCACTGCAGAGGGCTGGATCTTGGGCAGCATCCATGCTGCACATTTATGTGACACCTGCTACTCTGCCGTTCTCTAAATGGCAAGATA